TACCGTGGCAACTAAAACAGCACCAGAAGTCCCAAGTCATACGGTCGAGCAATGGGTCGCCAACGTGCGTCTGCTGGAGAAATTGCGGCTGTATATCTATGAGCGGTTGAGTCGGGGAGACTATGAGGAGGATACCAACAACAGTGGTAGCGATGTCCAGCAGCAGCAGCAGCAGCAGCGGGATGAGCAACAAACATCAGGTGGGGGATGCAGGGGATGTTGGTGTTAGTGTCAGTGAGCGGATGGAGGGGATTGAGATTGGAAATTCGGAGGGGGAGACGGAGGCGGAGGCAGAGGTGGTGGGTAAAGGGATGTTGGAGGCAGAGGGGGAGCAGCGTGGTGAGGGTGGTGGGGGGAGTTTGTATCCGGTTTTGAAAATGGAGTTTTAGGGGAGATGGAGGACCATTCGTCTGGGCTTGTTAGGGTTTTCTCAAACCCCACTTTTACTCCCATCTCTCATTTTTCCTTCGCTTGATATCTTTACTTCAACCGTCATGTCTTTTTCCCTGGTGAGCGTGATGGGATACCGTTTTTGTTCCGTGACTGGGTCTGGGTGTTTTACGAGATTTCTGAGTAATTGTTTTCTTTGCTTTGCTTTGATTAGATTCATTCCCTCCCTCCCCCCTCGCCCTTCTATATCACTACCATGTTGTTATCAGTTATATTTTATTGTTTTTCAATCTCATCTCTGTTATGCTATGAATGTACCAATCACCTCCTTAATTATGGTTTTATTTCTCTTTATTACCTTCTTTTTCCTTTTTCCTTTTTCCTTTTTCCTTATTCTTTCTTTTTCTTTTTTCTTTTCTTTTTTTTTTTTTTTTGGTTTAATTCATCTGCCAGATGTACACTTTCTCCAAGCGCCCCTTTTTCCGTTTCTCATTTTCTTGACATGACGTCCTCGTTTCGTTAACGCGTGATGACTTATTTTATTTCTATATTCGCACTGAAAAACAAACGTCCATGGAAATTGAGGGAATGTACGTATTGTATCGGGTCTTTTATTTGGATCTTTTTCTTCCTTTATTATGAAATGAGAATAACAAGTTTACCATTTTATTTTTATGCCTGCGAATGCCTTGTTTGATTAGCTCATGAAACTCAATACGGAGAATATATTATCCGGTAACTTTGCTCACCCAGGATTGGTTGTAATGATCTTACCCAGCAAGAACTCAGCCACGGTACCGTTCCGAAACGTGGAACGGTACCAACACAAGGTTAGCTCCACGCGTTGCCCGATTAGGCATGTCCGGGGTTTGACAGGGGGCAGAGGAAGAACAAGGAGTTGGATGAAGCAGAGTAGAAGCAAGTAAAGTAAAGTAACCGTTGAAGTGCTTGAACAAGGAGCCTGAAGCTGGACGGGAATAAAGTCTACACGGAGTAGGGCGCAGCAGAGCAGAGCGGAAAAGCATCTCGAGGCCGTCTGCACTTCGTCTGCTTTCTTACTGATCATATCCTCTTCCCCCGCCAGCTTCACTTCTCTTCATTCCTTTGTTTGACAACCATCAACATTGCCCATTCTTCTATTCTCCAAGCAGAGTGTCATCTACTCTCCAATCCCTTCCATCGTGGTACCTGGTACCTGCCGTTGGTCCGCTGTCGACTGGCATCTTTTCCAAGCACCCCCACCCAAGAGCCTTGTGTGCCTGCGTCGCCACCCCCGACGGCACGGCAAATGCGGTTCGACCAGACTTCATCGACAAACCTCCGTGCTCTTGCAGCCAGATCGACCAATCAATCCAATAATAGGGAGAGAAAGGAAACAACTAAACAACCGAACAACATATAATACAAACCACCCACACCTCTCTCTTCATGCAAGCTGAAGGGGAAAACAAAACGTCATCGTCGTCAAGCTTAAAAGCCAAAATCATCAATCACGGGAGTTGCAAGAGTTAACTACAGAACCCATAGTTAGCTGGATGCGCGAGAGACCAGACATTGCCAGACGTCAAACACCTGCTGGAAGAGACAGGCCCAAAACTAAAAATAAGTATTGCGTCAGGGAAAAGGGACACGCAAACCGAAATATTATTATAAGTCGCCAAACATCAGTATAATATAACCACAGTTTTCAATTTGATCGCGTCTTTTCTGTCTTTCATTTTTGCTCTCTTTCACAAAGCAAAAAGGAAGAAGAAAGGGTTAACTCGAGAAGAGACCAAAAAAGGAAAGGAAAAAAAAGAAGAGAAGAGAAGAAAAGAAAAGCGATATATACATACATATACTACTACTACTACTACTACTACTACTACTACTACTACTACTACTACTACTACTACTACTACTACTACTACTACTACTACTACTACTACTAATCGTGCCTCCGCGCACCCACACCTCGTGTGGGTGAGCCACAGCGTAACAATAAAAACAGTGTAACAATAAAAATATCAACTTCTTCATTAATCAATCTTCAAATATTAATATATCACCACCACCATGACCAATAAGATAGATGATCTTGAAAAATGTATTCAGAGTGCCATTGAAGTCTATAATAACAATTGAAAACAGAAAATCCTATCTCTGGTGTGCAAATTCAATGTTTCTTATCAATATCTTCAAGCAAAAATCAATGAAAGAAAAACATACAATGCAAAGACTGCACTGAACAAGAAGCTTAGCAAGAGCCAGAAGAACATGTTAAAAGAGTAGATAGCTCATATGGACAGAAATAATTATCTGCTGATCACAGAGCAGATTCAAAATAACACAAATCTCATTCTCAAATGCCATCATACTGATTCTTCAACCTTCTCATTCATGATTAGCAAGATGTGAACCTATTGATATATACAAAGCTTAAATGAGTATAAAAGAATTAAGCAGAAGACAATGAATTTGAAAAGAATTGCTGTTGAAAATATTAACTACATCAAGATATGATTTGATCATTTGAAAATCTTACTTTAAAAGTACACATTTCAAATCTGCAATATTTACAACTTTAATGAAATTGGCTTTCAAGAGGGTTAAGAAAATGAAGAATGGATTATTACTGCTTTTAAAGACTTTAATTCAGTTATAACTTCATCATATTCTCAAGAATTAATTACTATGATTGAATGTTTTTCAATAAATGATAAGATATTGAATCTCTTCATTATCATGAAATTCAAAACTCAATTTGAAAACTAGTATACACAAAACAATCTATCAGATAAATATATAATTGCAATATTAGATACTGGCTATATCAATGATGAGATTGACTTTATATGAATTCAGCACTTTAATGAGATCTCTAAAAAATATTAGCAAAATAGTCATCAATTGCTACTTCTTGACAATTATGAATCTTATTTTATTAAAGAATTTCTATAATATTGTGATCTTCATAAAATTATTTTATATAGATTTTCTTCACATTCAACTCATATACTATAATCTCTAAACAGTGTATTTTTTCAACAGTATAAGCACTATCATTCAAAGACAGTTAATCAAGCTGTGCAATATGAATATGAGTAGTATGAAAAATATTAATTTTTACAGAATCTAGTTGATGTTTGCAAAAAGACTTTTTAACTTTCTACTATTCAGACTGACTTTGTAAATTGTGGTATTGTCTCATTCAATCTGCAATCTATACTGCTTAAGCTAGATTCAAAAATCTCTAACTACTCTGAGTTGCAAATATATGAAGAAGACTTCTTTTCACTGCAATTAAGCTATTCAAATATTATTTTATCATAGCTATTCTCATTCAAGACAATTGAGAAGCTACAACATCATATTCAAATGACAAAGAAGGCAATACAAGATATGGAAAATACACTTGATTTCAAATCACCTTATCTGAGCAATTGATTGAACAAGATTTTCCAAGACAGACTTGTTCAGACAAAACTCAATACTATAAGAGAGAATGAGATTAAGAGTTACTACCTTGCAATCAAACACCACAGCACTAAAAATACACATCAGCAGGTTCAAGTAGGAGGTATACTCACTGTCAGAGATGCAAGTAGAAAGATTGCAACAACATAAAGAGAAAGAAGCAGAAAAAGAATGTTATAAGAGAGTCAAACATGTTGAAAGGGCTTTGAAGAAAAATGCCACAGATTCAACTCAACAAGAGGTTAATGATATATATAAACATCTCACAAATAATACAGCTACTACAGATGATATAGATAAATTAATTATCATAGATTAGCAGCATGGTGATGAGATTTTAATTTTTGAAGTTCTAATTATCCATATTTTTATTGTTACGCTGTTTTTATCATTATGCTGTGGCGCACCCACATCAGGTGTGGGTGCGCGGGGCAAGATTACTACTTACAGGTAGGCTGCGGATCCTTAAAAGCCCATGCGAGCCGGCGTATCGATAAGTTAAGCTAAAAGAAAGCTTTTGTATTATTGCAGACAACCGCAGAGCGGCGCGTCATTTCTCACACTAACCATCGAAAGTTGCATCCACCAACAAAAAACAATACTGGGCATCTAACTCTGTCGCAACAAGTTACCGCTATCAACAAGCTGTGGGAAACCCTTTAATAAGCAAAAGTCGCGACCGTCCTCCCTCTGCCTTGGTTCTCTATTTACACTCTGAACCAAGGTTTTTCTCCATTCGGATTGCCGAAAGTTTTGCGTTTAAACTCTGCCACAATTGCAAATTGGTGTGGCAATCCACAAACTTCCTGGGAACGGAGGCGCAAGGGAAAAGGGAAAAGGGAAAGGGTAAAAAAACAAAATTTCGTTTTCATCTTTCCTATGGTTGCTTCCATCACATTCTCCCTCTTCACATTCACCCTCTTCCCCATAATCGTTTTTCTCTGTTTAACTTTTTCGCCCTCTGAACCGATAGCAAAAATACACGAAAAAACAAAATCCACCCCCGCCTCTCGTGTTCTTTATTTACGGATTTCGCTTCAGTTCCGTTTACGATACACCTCTTCCAATTCGGAAAGTCGCTTTTTTTTGGAACACCGTCCACCAACTTTTTCCGTGCCGTTCTAGATCTAGGCAAATCGCGTGGATAAGTGTGGCGCGCTTCTGATTTCGATCTACTCCGTGTTTTACGATACGTAGTCAATGGGAAGCGGAAATAATAACGCAACTATCTGAACATCGAACTTCGAAGTGGAATATGCCGCCATCTAGTAAGCGCCGTAACCGGCGCAAGGACGCCAGATTGCAAGAGACACCCGAAACTGACCTGTTGGATTCCTCCCCTTCCCGTCGAACTACCAAGAAGCGCAAGGTATATTTCCCTCATTTCCTACAGTCGCTAACGTTCCCTGGCTTGGGATGTGTCGCTGATTTGCCTTTCTTTCTTATGTAGATTGACCACACCCGTGCGCTCGTCCTGCCTGTAGAAAAGACTCCAGAACCAGAACCTGTTTCGGCCGGCGAAGCTGACGACTCTGGTCTCGAA